AGAAAAATTACATTTTCCCAGAATATTGTATTTCAGAACAATTTGACACAACAAGGATGTTGCCTAGCTACAGCCAGGAAGCACAGGGTAGTTGCCACAGCTACAAAGGAGAACTATAAGATCTTTGTGCTGCAGGTTGTAGAGTGAGCTGGTGAAATGTGTCTTTGGCCTCCAAGGAATTCTAGCCTTCTAGCAAACCACTGTTTCCTTGTGGCCTGAATTACAGAGGGATCCATGTTAGATGTTGACTTTCCTAGGCAAACAACAGTCTCCCTCATGCTTTTATGGCTGCAGGACTTTGCTTCTGACTTGCGGCTCAGAGTTTCTTACTCTGCATCTTCCTAGATGATAGAAGAGCAATCAATAACCAGACTTTTTGTTTCTTTCAGTACTTCTAGGAAACAGAAATCTGTTCAGCCCTCAAGGCACCTACTTGTCAAAACAGAAAGAAGAGAGACTCTAGTAATAGATCAGCCCTTGATCTTATATAACATGGAGATTGACAGTATCATTTCATTTGCCTAAAAGCAACTTTGGAGTTGCTACAAATAAATTAGCTTAGCAAAGACAAACCGACAATAAGGCAGTTATTGCTTTATTCAGAGGTTTTCCTGGGTTTCAGGAAACTACCGCCACCCCACATTCTGCTCAAATAAGTAAGCACAGATTGGTTTCTAACCTGTTCCCTGTGCTCTTTTGGTGACTCTTAAATATATTCTTGTCTGTGTCAGCATTTGCACATTTTTAGATTTCCATGAAAATTCCATTTACTTTGATGGGTACATGCACAGAACTATTACTTGGGATGGTGGGGGGGATTATACAATTTCAAGAATGTGGGGTGTGTTTAATACTCAGAGGGAGAAAGAGAGAGAACACAAGAATGAAATTCTATTCTACTCACAATCACCTTCTTGCAATGTCAAAAAGACCAGCAGGCACTGACATTTGTGCCACCACATTAAAAAAAAGGATGCTAATGTACTAATTTTGACCTAGCCACTCAGAGCCTCTATAAGAAAAATGCATGCATTGATCCACAGGGACACACACACACACAATCCTTATAGTCTAAACTTTCTGACACAAAAAATGATAAATGACATAAACTAAAGGGGAGAATTCAAGACCATGAATCCTAGCTAGCAATGATTTGTATCTTTTGCATCACTCTGCAGCTATATCAAGCAGCTGCAAAGGGATCGAGAGAGAGAAAAAAAAGACTTTGCTTGTGTTTCTACTTACAATGATCCACCCTCTCCCTTTAAGAGCTGGCCCATATCTTTCTGGCACATGCAGTGTTTTGGGGATGATACATTAAGATGCAAAATAGGTCTTTGTTCTGCCTCACAGATGCCTATGAGAGTTAAAATAGATTGCACTGAAGATAAGGATCTTTTCAGCCCTGGTTGCATTGCACAAAACTCTGAGCCCTACAAGCACCTCAGTAGTTGGAGTGCCCAGGAAAGATCTTGGACGTTACCGAGGCATTCTCCTTAGGTGACAGGTATTCTTCCCAGGTATACTATAGCCTATACTACAGAACTGTGGCATTTTTTTCTTTAAATTAACCTGATGATAGCAGATTGAGCATGGATGCATGGGATTGGTCCTGCTCCATTTGTGGGCAACCAGCAGCTACTTGCTCTACCCTATGGTTGCATCAAATTGTATAAATGCCACACATTCAGTCTCTTTTCACACATTTGTATATATCCCTATATATCTCCCTGTTCCTTTTCTTTCACATGTTACGAATTTTATTAGATTTTTCAAAGAGTTTTATTTTAGACGAATTGTAAAGGATTTTTTTTTTTGTAATTAAGTGTTGTAAATGGCTGAAATCTGGGTGTAAGTTGCAATGACAGCAGGCCCACTGAATCAGCAGGGATTTCGTGAGTCAACTTCTCCATAAGTTTAATAAGTCTATTCTAGTTGTGACTTACCATCAGATTGCAGCATATGTAAATGCAAATCCTACATTAGAAATATGTTAGTAGAAGATATTGACAGGTCAAATTCAAACAAAAATGAGTCAATATTTCAAACTTTTAACACAAACTAAATACATCAACATCTTTTCATTAATAAGTACCACTGGAATGGTTTTCCTGCGGGAATATTACTGGCTCATGTGTCTTCTTGTATATAGAGACTGATATACATTACGGCAGCTGAAGTATTATGAACAGCACCAGGGCTCAAGATCAGTTATGAACTCTGAATGGCCTTAGGCAGACTGCTATTGCTCAGCCTCAAGCTGCCCCCACCTCCTTCAATATGAAGATGGCATTGCTAAATAATATGGGTGGTACTGCTAGATAATGTGAGCTATAATGCCTGTTGGAACAAGGCCATCCCTAGACCTGGAACTCAATATGATGCATACTGTTACCCAGTGGTTAATGTCAACCTGAGACTGCCTCTCTTGATCCCTGGGCTTACAGGAGATGACACTCAGCTTGCTGTAAGTATGGAGCACCCTCTTCACATCTAACTCGTCTCACTCCTGTTCCCTGGGGTGAACTATATTTGGATGAGAACCAGGAAGAACTATGTCCTGACTATGATGGAACAGATATGTATGTAGTGTCACCCAGTCTGTGTGGAATCTGCAACCCCGCTCTTGGATAGGACTACTGTTTTCTCTAACAGCAGCCTTGTTGCAAGAAATGGGTGTATAAAGGTTATGCAGAAGATGAGAAAGGCTTCCCCTTGGATCAACAAGAGAGTGTGCTCCTTTTTCGGTCCTCCTTTCTGTCTGGCAAAAATTGCTTCCTTTGGACTCCAGAATGTGAGGCCTAAAGGAATCTCTATGTAGGTTTTCCCTAAGAAAAGGGGTGGCAGCCAAGTTTAACCTGGAATGTTGGGCCTAGTGATAGAGTTACAGGCTCCTGCACATCACTATTCCAGAATCAATACTCTAGAAGCTCTGAAGGCTTAATGAGCAGAGTCCGTTTAAGAATCTACCAGGAATTCAGCCACCCTAGTCAATTTCTTAAGGTCTTCATGAAGACGTTAGGTGTCCAGGGGGAAGAACTATAGGCTAGAATATTGAAGCTTGGTCAACCAACAAATTCACAACAGAGGCACAAACCTATTAGTAGAAAATGTGTCCCTCCCACATTTCTCGTGTTCAAGCTTGTCTCCCATCAGCAGGCAGACAGCAAAGTTCTCAACCAAATCCAGACGTCCTTTTCTGGCCAGGGGTGGGGGCTTGGAAGGCTGTACATCATCTCAAGCACTTCCCTGCACAGAGGAAAATGTGAGGGCTCAGCTGTGTAGAAGAGCTTCACACTGTGCTCTTACAGGCAGCTATGGCAAGAGATGGGACAGCTGGATGAGTTGGACTCATCCCCCCACCAGATGAATTTAAAACAAAGGAAGTCTCTTTTCCCCTCCAATCCCACCCTCTGCAAACAGTACCAAGCTGGAGGCTTTTGCAAAACACAGAAAGATCAGTGGTATCCTTCAGGAGATCCAACAACCTGGTGCTCTGAGACTTGGCTGAAAAGTCCATCACTATAGTTCAAGCTGATAAGGTGGTAAACACAAGAGAAGCCAGCCAGGCTGAGTAACTCCAGCACCAGTAGTAACAAAGAGAAAGAGTGGGGTTCTGCTCTGCTGAAGCTTTTTTTGCAGGGGGGGAGGGGGTTCTCACAAGAATCACAGCTGGGAAGCAGTCAAGGCAAGGTTGACCAACAAATTCTGCAGAGTATATAATTCTTTTCTTTTTCTCTTAAATTTCAAAAGCTAAGTTATGTTTTTAGGAAGAAACACTAAGGAGCAATCGCCCATTATTTTAATTTATTTATTTATTTTATTTATTTATTTATATATATCCCGCCTATCTGGTCTTATGGCCACTCTAGGCAGCTTCCAAATACATTTATAAAATGACATGTAAAATATTAACACAAAGAAATTATTACATCAGATAACAGATTCTTCAAGATGGAAATTTTTTTATGCAATTAAACTATTTTATTCATGTTTAGTAGCACAAATTCCATTTCAGTTCTGTTGGCTAGACATCTTGTTGTCAAGGGTACAATAAAGTTGCTTCAATCTCAAATGATGGGACCACAATTTATGCCACTAGAGGGTACATGCCACTCCACACGCAGCAAGTTTAAATTTCTGTATTGCATGCTATTGTGGCACAGGCCTTCCTCAAAACATGGCAATAGTTGCTTCCCCCTGAAATCAAATACTGATTAAACAATGTAGAATGAAAACTCAAAATAAAAAAATTAAAAGTCAAATACTGCTAAACTCAGTGAAACAGGTGGGTGGGTAAAAGAAGTGGGGGAAAGAACAGAGTGAAATGGATGGACTGAGGTGGAGAATGTAGGCAAAAGGGAAGGTAATCTCTTATATGTCCCAAGGGAGTGACATATAAGGGAGCAATTCCTGTGTTATTCCAGTACTACCTGTGGACAGGTAGTACTGGACAGGTAGTACTGAAAGGGTGTTTACTATCTCAGTACATCCAGCAACAGATAGCCTCCAAATTTGTGAATGGAAATACTGTGTTGATCTATTCACATCTGCAAGAAAAAAACAGCAAAATGACCCAGGACAGTACCACTGTAGGGATGAGCCCTCAGGCTACAAATCCCAGAATTAAATAAAATAAAGAACATAGACATAGCAAAAGCACAGCTAAACTGATCTGTGCTTTCTTGCATAAATCCTAGTGCATACAATAAGGTGCAAACTCTCTCATTAGTTTATAAATACAGTATAACAATCCCCTCCCCAAAGTTATTTTCTGGACTATGTATCCCAGAAACTCTGGTAAACAAGCCACTGGCCATGACACCTGGGGAATTATGGGAGCTATTGTACAAAAATAATATAAAATAAAATTCCCGGACTCTCTTTATTACTATCTCTTGCTCAGTGACCCAATGATCCTACTCAAAAATAACAAATTCCCAAATTTCTTAAGTGCATCCAATCACACCTTTTTTTTTGTTAAACACTCCTCACATTACCTGGTTGGTAGAAAGTTGGGGAAAGTTCTCTGGCAACTGCTCTGGCAATGTCACACTCCTGACGGGCAGATTGGGCGGCTTGATCTGCAGCATCAGCTTTAGCTCTTGCATGTGCAGTTCTGTAAGGGATGCAAAAAGGGTGTTTACTAATACAGGTGTTCTTTTTATTTTTATTTTTTGAATGCAACTACTTGACATAATTATCCCTCTTTCTGGAAAAGAAGCTTTTAATATATACTTAGATAAAATTATTATTCATAGTGATTTTAATTAACTATGATAATGTTACATAGCATCAGCATCGAGTTACCTCTTTAATTTCCCGATATTATGGAATGTGCATGCGTGCTGTCAGAACAACCAGGAGGATGGAGGATCTTCCTGTGCATAAACCCAGCCAATCTTAAGGCTTTCTAGTCAGAAGGAGGGGAAAAAAAGAAGCAAGCCACAGGAAGTTGGGGTGGGAAAGCCCAAAAGAGTTTTAGAAAGGTATGTGTGTTATGCAGAAGGCTGATAGGAAAATGAATTTCCTTCCTCTCATAATAGCCTCGGGCCATCCAATGAAGTTTTCTCAGGGAAGATACAAGAGAGACAAAGGTTTATTGTTAACTTACGGAATTTATGGCCACAAAATGCCATGATGGCTCCTAGACAAAGGATATTAGACAAGGTCAGAGGGAACATGTTTATCCACAGTAGGGTTGCCAGGTCTCAGGGCACCAGCTGAATTATTATGTTTTTCTGAGTCTACTGGAGGGGAGACAAGCCCAGGGTGAGCAGCAAGGAAGGAGGAAATAGTTTGGTTTTTGTATATGAAGATATGAAAAAACTGGGCATCTAGCTCCACTTCTTCTCAGCTGGCACAAGGGTCACTGGCTCACTATGTGCACATAGCTCCAAACTGTACAACAGGCTCAAGTGCATGTGCCCAATAGCTCTCTAGCCAGTGCTCTCCCCTCACTCCTGCCTTTTTTTTGGTGTGCTGACATTGGACTTATCATGCCATCTGGACTAATACAAGAAGTGAAATACCACTGCCACAATTCATGAAACTTCTTCTTATTTTGGCTGTATGCAACCTTAAGATTCAATATATAGTACTATGCACCCTTGAGCATGCGTTACTACTATATTGCTATGTTGTGTAAAATCATATCTGCCTTATAGTTACCCTAGTAGGGTTTTCAAGGTATGTGAAATATTTAAATAGTTTTACCAGAACTACTTCTCTGTGAGTTCAAATGACCAAGGGGGGGATTTGAACCTGACTCTTTTGAGTCCAAGTGCACCACTTTATCCACGGCATCATTCTGGCTCTGAGTTTCTACAACACAGTAAAGGAAGAGAATTACTGCTCTCACTTCCTGCCTGTGGATTTCTCAGAGACCCAAAGTTACCTTCTGTGTGAAACAGGACACTGTACTACAGCAGTGGGCATCTGTGGTCCTTCAGCTATTTCCAGCTTACAACTCCCATCTGCCGTAGCAGGGACAGCCAACTGTGCCAGGGTTTATGCAATAAGAAGTTTCATGACTGACAATCCAAAACACTGAAGGGCCACATGTATCCACAGATGCTGTACTACATAGCCACTTAGCCTGGTCTAGGCAGGCCTCTTATGCTCTTTCATGAATCCACAGGCCAGCTAGAAACACAACAATCACAAAAACATTCTTCATCTATTAAAGTTAATGGAGGGGGAGTACGGGAAAGAAGAGGGATTACTGAAACCTGACCCACATTGGGCTTTAGGAAGGTTCCTATGCATTGCTTCCTCTGCTACACACAGGAAGTTGTCTTCTATGGTCCATCCAGCCCAGTACTGACAATTCTGACTGGCAGTGGCTCTTCAGAGTTTCTGGCAGCATTCTTTCCTAACTCACCTTCTGATTCCTGGTATTCTCTGACTGCTTTCCTCAACCAGGTCTAACCCTGCCTATCATCCAAAGTATGACAAGATCAACATGGTCTGGGCAATACGACATTTTCCCACTCCTGGAAGTGATCACTTGCAGCCCATGGACCATGCAGAAAGCTCATAGGCCAAGAAGGAAAAGCTCCTTGCCACAGAGGGATAAAGCCGGCCTAGTTCTGCAACCATGGGACATTGGCCGTGATGTCACTGGCATATGGAACCTAGTTGGATTCCCCCTAAGATCAGTTAATGTGTGACATTCTCGAAGTTACAGAATGTTACAGTTGCTGAACGCAACTTCTCTGCAATTCTTGCTCACTGTTCCAGTTCTGCTCCCTTCCCTATCACCCTCGTGCCTTACATGCCTTCAGATATGATGCAGAGGACACTTTTTTATTATCACCCACAGGAAAGGTATGGGATCCTCTTTTCTTAATTGTACATCCATCTAACATTAGCCCCTATGCATTAACTAGCACTGTTTACTCAAACACAACAGCACAACGTCCAAAGGCAGCTCTATGAACTGAATATTCTGGAAGACTGAAAATATAAATAACCAAATGCTTCTATATTTTTATTACAGGTGCACGTAGTTTCTGAAGAATTATTTAAGTATTTGAGAAATAAAATCATGTAAAGTAAATTCCATTTCATTAAAAAATTACATCTCACTTTTTTGCAAAATGAATCTTACAATAAGAATATGTTAGAGGGGAAATGTGGAATTAAAGCATTTTGGTTATATAAATGTGTATAAGATTCTGTGTACAGTATTATATCAGTTTTTCATTCTGAGACGCTGACTTGTAGCTTTAACCTTCTTTCTGCTATCTCTTCGTCTAACCAACAATATACAGTACTTGTTTCAGTCTCGCCCCATAATGAATCAAGTTCTCTCTGCACAAAAGAAACAATGCCAGTTAAGGAATACTCATAGCTACATTCCAGGCATGGTGTATATAATCACTTAAGTCGACAAGGCTTCAAAGCAGAGGGAAAGTAAGCAACGTGCCCTCTTGCTCTTGCCATAGAATATTCTTAACTACCTCAGACACTAACAGTGAATAATGAATATTGTCACTAAAGGAAAGAAAAAAATGCAGGGTGTAAACATGGACATTTAGCACCATGATAGTATATCAAAACACATGACATGGTCTCAAAGCTGATGCTAGAGTCCTAGGCTTATAAGTACTGGGAGACCTCAACATTCATGCCAAGGCCACCTTATTAGGAGTGGCTCAAGACTTCTTGTCCTCCATGATTACCATGGGTCTGTCTCAAGTGATATTTGGCTGCAGGGTGTACTCTGTACCTCGTCTTTTGTGCTTGGAATGATGATGGTGATCTGGGTGTGGAGGAACACTCTGTAGTTTTGTCATGGACATGATTACTCCTAAAGGTCTTTTTTCATGGAGTAGATCCAGACATGTCCCCTGGTTTACCAGAGAGCAGATGACGATGAAATGAGTGGAACAGGAATAGGGATGCAAGCTATGTTGAGTGAGGTTACATTCCCTGAAAAGTCAAGTCTGCAGCTTGAGTTTTCTCTTGAATTCAGGGTACCCAGGTGTCAGCAGTGACCAGCAATGCATTTGCACAGTTAAAACTGGTATGCCAGCTGTGCCCATTCCTTGAGATGTTTAGTTTGACCACAGTGACACATGTCTTAATTACATCCCACTTTGGATTACTGTAACATTCTGTACATGGGGTTGCCTTTGAAGATGATTCAGAAACTTCAGCTGGTTCAAAATGCAGCTGCCAGATTACTGACTAGGATCAGTTATAGGAAGCACATAATGCCTCTGCTACAACAACGATAGGCTGGTAATTACCTATAAAGCCCTATATGGTTTGGTTCCAGGCAATCTGAAGGACCATGTCTCCTCATAGGAGCTTTCTTGGTCTTTAGGATCTTCAGAGGAGGCCCTTCTCTCAGTCCCACTGCCATTGTCCATATGCTTGTTGAGGACACAAGAGAGGGACTTATCTGTGGCTGCTTCCAGGTTGTGTAATGCTGTCCCCTCAGGAGGTTAGACCAGCCCCTCCCTTTTTTATCCTTCTACTGACAGCCAAAGACCCACCTCTTCATGCAGGATTTTTATAACTCTGACTGAGACCCTAGATGCTATTTTTTCCCTAAGTTTGTTTTTAATCATTTTAATGTATTTTTAATATTTTAATGTATTTTAGTTACTGTTATGGTTTGTTTTTAATGTGTAACATTTTGTCTTTTAATTTTTAGATTAAATTAAGTGAAACAGACAAATAAGTTTAAAGAAATATAATGGTAAAGAAATGCAGCAATACAGTAAGGATGAATATCTGAAAACATATTGAACCTTCTTGCATTACATAATCTCTTCATAGGCACTCTCCAACTTGATGTCCTCCATGTATTTTGGTTTTGGACTTAAATTTTCATCTACTGAAGCCACAGCATAGCAAATGGTCAAGAATTCTGAGAGTTACAATTCAAAATATCTAGAAAGTACCAAGTTAGCGAAAGTTGGTGAAAAGTATAAATCTGACTGAGGTAAGTGATGATACAAGCAAGGTTAAATAACATTTTGAACATTTATCCAAAAGAGAGGCTACTCATGGTCTACAGTACAAAAATAAGTGGACGAATCCCACTGACATGGGAAAAGACAGAGATGTTAGGAACGTAGACAGAGAGATAGTCTAGGAGACAGAAGGCAATTGCCATGGGGGGGTGGAGAACCACTGTGCTACACAATTGTCACTGGATGGAGGAGACAAACTGAATGGATCTTTGTATACAATTCTGTGTAAATCTTCATGTTAAAATTCAGGCTGATAAACTACACTTTCACAAAACAAAGATTATCATAATGATTATTATTTACTATGTGCAGTCAAAGTACTTCCAATGTATGATGAATCTGATGGGGTTTTCAAGGTATGTTTGGGGAGTGGTTTACCATTGCCGCCCCATCCTGAGGTTCCAAAAGGGGACTTGAACCCAGATCTCCTGAATCGTAATCCAACACTGGCTTATTATAATTATTTGATTAATTTCACTATCTACTTTTCAAACAATAACTAACCCCTCATTTATCATGCATTATTGTTTTTCATCATCACTTAATTCCCCCAGCCAAAGTGAAGATTCTACACAGATACAAAGTCAATATAAACAGAAATCACTCAGATGGTATCCCCTCCTTTCATGTG